GAAAGATGTTTTCTAAACTCATTTTCACTCAAATTTTAACTATTTGCCTTTCTAATCACAAGAAGTAACCCAGCCAAACCACACCACTCTAGCCAGCAGTGGTCAGCTTTGACACTGTTCTGTCGTATGCTGTGGGAAAAGACTTCTGATTCATCTCTCAGTGTGAGCCACTGGGTTTAGGTATACGCAACATGGCTAAATCTTCACTTTCTTAATCTATTTTTGCTGCATAGTGTTAGAAATTATACCCTATGTGTCTGTCAGGTCCTGAATTATATGCTGTTTGTCAGGCAGTTGAAGTGAAGTTGGATTATGGGAAAAAAGTTTTGATTGCATACATGACTATAGTTCCTTTACTGAGAGTTAGCTGCTTGCTAACACAGATATACTTCAGACAAAAGTCAGCAACTACAGGGAGGTTTGCTGGATGAGGCCAGTTTGGGAAGCAACTCTGGTCTTTAACAGCCAGGGTTAGCAAACTACACCAAACTGCTTCCAGTGACATTCTGCTCCCATGTAAGTTGCAAAAAAAAAAAATGCTCTTTCTGATATTTAAGTTTTTTAGACCAAGTTAAATTTGTTCTGCATCCTTGATAAGTATCCCATCATGCTTATGCTCAAAATTAAAGTCTCCTATGTCTCTTCAGCAATTAATACAAGTGCCAAGTAATCATTTCCTCCTATCTGATAAAAGTCAAGTAGCTTTATTTAAATGCCAGCAGTCATCCTGCTTCCTGCTATCTCTTTCCTCACAACACATCCTGTCTCCCCTAATGCACAAGTCAGTCAAGAGTTTTGATTCTAGCACAGCTACTTTCCATTTCTTCATTCCACTGGGAGTTCTCCACTCTCCCCTCATTCTCTTGGAGAATGAGATTTTATTTGGTCAAAAATAATCAAAATACCTCCTGTTTGTCTTACTAGATGGTGAATTAATTTTACTTGTTCTACCCTCCTACAGAATCAGTGACCCCATGGACTTTATGCTTCTTTGGACAGCAATGTGAAGAGGAGGAAACAGGTATCCAGAGACAGTGTCTTTCTCATGGCTTGAAGTGTGCTCTAATACATATGCTCCCTTGGCTTCTCTCAAGGGTCACCCTGACCCTTGCCCACCATATTACATGTATTCACAAAGCCTCCTGCAGTGAAGGCACACAAAATATGGTTGTTCTAGTCTCTGATATTTCAGAATGATACAGGGGTTCAGGAGCTTTACATCCTTACATTTTTTATTATGGGGGATAGGAGCTTTGTACCTGTGCGCATTACCTAAGCCAAAATAGGTCTTATTGCATTCCAAGCAAATGAGCAATCTCTCTAACTCTTAAAAAGTAATTATCGTCATTATTTTTCACCAACATCTTCAGTGTGAGAAAAGATACTCTGACCTTCAGAAGAGAAATAGACCACAGGCCTAATTAGCAAACACCAATCTATGTGCCCTGGGTTAAGCAGAGACAGAGTTAACTTTTTCTCATAATAGCTAGCAAGAGGCTGTGTTTTGGATTTGTGCTCAGCA